TTTAGGCAATATGCATCTGCCTAGAAGACATTACTGCTTCAACAAAATAATATTTTTAGTTTTATTGACACAACTAAGAATGAGTCAATCTAACATGTCAATGTCGATGGCATAATCACAATAGTAGACTCAGTAGAACTGACATCTCCAATAATATTCTTGTTAGTAATCACCACATTCTTACCCTTCCAGGCCATTCCAACGAAAAAGTCTGAGATAATGTAATCGACAAGCTTATTAAAGAAGGGTTTTAAAGATAAATCAGCATAGTGCTTCTCAATAAAAGGGCAATCCACAGTGATGAAGTTCAAACCTTTATCCATAGAAAAATTCATAACAATGAAAATCATAAGTAGAAAATAAGTCATGGTTTTTAATATTGTCACTAAAAGCATGTTAGAATAAGCCTAGAAAATAAGCAAGCTTATTTTTACAAAGTAAATTACATTTAAAAAAATTAAAACATGCCCACAAATTAAAACAGCAACCACATCAATTTCAGTGGCGACAATTAATTTTTGGCCACCACGTGAAGATCTCTAGAAAAAAAGCTTCCAAAAAATACATCATGTTTGGAGACCTAAGGAAGGGTCCTCGATATTTGTTGGCTATCAAAAGATCACCTCCCACTCTCCTAATTCTCGTGAGCTCAGCAAAGGCAAGAGATTACCAGTTGAAGATCCATTGTTGGAGATCCAAGTATGGAGCAATAAAGAAGATGCTTCTTCAGAAAACGAAAATGTTGGTGACTTACATTTAAGAATCCGGCTATCAAAAAAAGGAGATGGGTATAAAAATGAAGGGGATTCTAATTACTCCTTCATTAGAATTTAGCTTGTTGACGGCTAAAATAAATATAAAAATGCATTATTTTATACTTTTAATTTACTTTTCACATGATTTTGCAAAATTGCCTTATATTTAGGGCATATAGTCTAATTCCCTCCATTTTCTATCTACTGAAAACTGTCATAATTGGGATGAGATGGGCTTATGGGTGGCAAGTTGGGCCACCAAAAGGCCCATGTATGGCCCACAATTTTCAAGCATGGCATTTCTTCATACATTTTTGGGGTTTTTTTTGCACTTTTCTTTCTCAAACTTTCCTAATGTTATTAAACTACCATCAATATTTTCATTTTTTTTGCACCAGACAACCTCAACTTTTCGAAAATGTAGCAAAATTCGTCCTTTCACCATTCTGACAATGTAAAGTGACGAATTTGCCTCCCCTTTAAATAAGTGCAAAAAAATAAAAATAAAAAACTACTAAATAAAAAAGTAAAAGACAAATGAAAGAGTCCTAAATATTTTCAAAATGAAAAAAATAAGGGGTCGTTCTCTTCGTGTTTCAATTTTTCGTTTTGAATTTTGAATTCATTTTGGATTTTGTATTTTGAGTATCCATTTTGAAATTGTTGAAAATGTGTTTTTTTTGTTATTTTAAAAAATTATTTTCAACAATAAAAAATTGGAAAATTTGTTCTCTCTCTCTCTCTCTCTCTCTCTCTCTCTCTCTCTCTTCCTCGCAAGGTCGTCGACACCGAAGACTGCGGCGGAGTTGTCGCGACCAGCAGCGAGCGGCACTCCCTGCGATCGTTGGCTTCTTCATCTCTTTTTTTTTTGTTGTTTTTTTTATGCGTTGATTGGATGCAGCGTCGTCGGCTTCTTCTACTATTGTGGTTGTGGCGGTGGCGGTGGTAGTGTGCAGTGGTTGGGTGCATGGTGTGAGGTGGTTGGATGCGGCGTTGCTGGCTTCTTCTGCTGTTGTGGTGGTGGTGGTGGTGGTGGTGTGCGGTGGTTGGGTGTGGTGCACGGTGGTTGGATGCGGTGTCGCAGGCTTTCTGAAAACACTTAATACCATATTTTTTACGTTTTCGATTTTCTTTGTAAATTTTAAACTCGTTTTTGGAAATTTGTTTTTGAAAATAGGTAAATAAATGTGTTTTCTCTGTTTTAGAAAATCGAAAATAGAAAACGGGATGAAAACGGCAAAGAGAACAACCCCTAAGCTTTCTTCTCCAATCACTCTCATTTTCGAACCCAATCCACTCTCACAACCATATACAAACCACCACCAACTAGTTGCCACCCCACCACACGAAATAAATTGATANTTGCCACCCCACCACACGAAATAAATTGATAAATTCTATCAATATTTCCATGCATTAAGATATGAAAAGTATGATGTATATCGAAATTGTCTACTCAATTTCCTGAAATTACATAATGGTTGACTTCTCTATGAGCAACTTGTACTTCGACTAAAAATTCTGTACATTTTGCTGCTATTAAAAATATTTTTATATAAAAAAATGGTATTTAGAGAAACTAGTTAGAAAGTTATACAGCCACTTTACTAGAAGATTTGGTCTTTTTGTTTAATTGAGTCACGATATAGGCAACCCCAAAGACTATAGATTCTATGGTCCTATAGACTTTAACAAAGGCATGTTTACTTTAATTTAAATTTTTATCAACTTTTAGATAAATCAAATAGGGACTTATGACTTGTTTGACAACCATGTTTTTTAAACTCTTTTTTGTATATACTTATTTTCAACCACACATTCACACAATAAAATATTCTGTACGTAAATCCAAAATTTTTCCTATTTTTAAACCGCACATTTTCTTAAAACTCACTATCAAAACTCTTTTTTCCAATTTAACGGTGGTCAAAAAGTGGCTTAATTGGTCAAATAAATATGGCATTTCAAAACCTCTTCTTCGAAGAAGTTTACTTTATACTTCAAAGCAAATATTTTAAATACCCTTAGTGGATCACCACAAACAATTCCTTCAACTCTTCCCACTTGTATATATATATATGTATGCACAAACTCAATTATTCCGCAATACAGAAGTTAGAAAGTTGACTCCAAATTTATCGGAACAAGGCTTAGTTCGTTGTTTCATGTCTCCTCTCAGCAGCAATGATCTCGAACGGATTTTTGAAAGCCTCGACCGAAAGATGGAAGGCCATGTGAGCATTCATGAGCTGCAACAACTTCTTGATAGAGTTGGAAACCATACAACTCTAGAAGAGCTGGAAAAACTTGTGGGATCAACAAATCTTGATTATTTTGATTTTTTCTTCTTCTGCGAAGCAGTAATAAAGTCGAAAATAAGTGAAAACAAAGAAGGAAATTATGACAGTTTGGAAAGTGATTTGCTTAAGGCTTTTAAGGTTTTTGATTTAAATGGTGATGGATTTATATCATGTGAAGAGCTTCAAAGTGTGTTATTGAGATTAGGGTTATGGGAAAAGTGTAATGGGGATTGCAAAAATATGATTAAAGTTTATGATACAAATTCAGATGGAGTTCTTGATTTTGAGGAGTTCAAGAATATGATGTCCCTTTCTGTTTCTTCAAACTTTTGATTGTATCAATTTTAATTTTCTTTTAACTATTGTATAATATGAGAACTGATCAGAAGCAGCCATACTTTTTCTTTTTCTTTTTCAATTTTTTTTTGTCCTTGGTATTTTATCACTTTTCATCTAAATATTTTTTAGAACGTTCATTGATAGCTTTGATTCAATAAGGCAAGTCGGAAAGTCAAACAAAGAGAAAGACAAACGAGATTCAAAATCTCTTGATCAAGCATACGCGTTTGAGAAATTAGAATGCTCATTTGAATGAGCAAACCTCGATTTTTGCTTAGATTAGACATAAAATCATTCTATCTCCATTTTTCCATAGTTGAACTATCACATACACCCCAAGAAGCCTCCAATGCTAGAAGAAAATTGCTCGAAGCATCACTAACTTATGCTTGGGATGTGGAAATGAGATGTTGAAAAGAAATGACTCATTCATTTAGCAGAGAGATTTAAAACTTAAAATGCATATACATCTATTTTTTCATTAAGAGTCCTCAAATAATTTATGGCCTTGCGTGTATCTTTAAACCTAAGGGCATGTTCACATTATGTAATAAGATATTGAACATTATAATAACTAAGATTTTAGCTTAAGTCACTTCTTCAGTATTAATGCTATCTCGTCGCTCTTCCCAAGCACACCAAAACAGAAATTGATTCTTAGTGTCTCTTACATACTCTGTATAATTTTACATGTTTCGCATCAATCACACAATTTAATTAGGTTCGTTCATCTCCAAAATCTTGATGACATTTTGGTTTCTTATTGAAAATAAAAATTATTTTTATCCACTAAGCTAAACCTAAATCAACTGTTGATCTTTTGAATTTTTGCACAAGTAAGCAATTTAAAATTTTCCAGCCCACTTATTTGAACAATCTTTTGGATGACATATCAAGGGTTTGACATTTCTTAAAGATGTTACTGGTTTTTTTTCCGCCTAAGTAGTTTATTGAGTTGGGGTCCAATTGACAGTTAAAAGTCGTTGGAGATCTTGGAGCCTACTTTATAGATTTTTGCTATCATTCTCTTGGTTTTTTATTTTTTATTTTTGCAAACAATTTTCTAAGAATTGAATTTTGTTTCTAAACAGTTAACTAGTTTAGTAAGTCAAAAAACATGAATCAAATCTAGACCACACGTTTTAGGATAACTTTTTCTTGAGACTCATAAGAAAAAATCATACACGAATCTCGTGGACAAATATTTGAATTTGTTTTTCATTGAAAAGTCTATTACGCGCACAATATTAATGGGTGACAACGTGAATTGTGCGCATGTATGCTTTGATCCCATGCCCATGTTTGTCAAATGCTTTTTTGAGATTATAAGTTGGTCAAACTTAATGTTTAATCACATATTTTGTTGAATCCACAACTTTTATTCACTTTTTAGCAAGACATTTCATAGAAAGGATATTTCGAACGGAAAGTACTAAACACAATGAGGCTTATAGCACATGCAACTAAGCTTATAAAGTTTAGTTTTAAATAAATTCACTTAGAAGTGAAAGAGTAAATTTAAAATAATTTTCTTATTAGTGAAAGACTGAAAGTTATGCTTACTTCTTTTGCCATAGAGCTAGAATTTCTCCAAAAAAATTTACGATCCCTCTTAAAAGGGCAAAAAAACAAAATTTGGATATAAAAAATTACTTATTTTCTGTTTTAACTAAACATGTTCTCAGCAATTACTTACCCGAGCAATCTGTGTTCACCATGTTCAATTCATTATTTGATCCAAATAATTTGAAATAATTAAATATTTAACAACCATAGAAAATCACATAATTCTTTAACTACAAAAGTTGTTCAAAACTATATTTTTAAGCAAGAACATAATATTTATAGGATTAATAGAGAAACGTTTTCATGTGCAATATAACTCCCATTTATTGGAAATCGCAAAAAAAAAAACCCTATTTGAAATCTTTTGTGCTAAAATCCCTCTTCCATCAAGATCCGTCAGATTTGCCGTTAAAAACAGTAAAAAATGCAAAAATTAAAAATGAATAATTGGAATTTCAGTATCCAAACTTTACTTTTTTTTACAAATTTAACCCAAATTTTTTATATGCGGCACCTACAATCTCAAATTTTTAAAACTTTATTTTTCACTCCATCTCACTTCATCTTCTTTCCCAAGAATCCAATTAAGATTCCACTTCAACTTCTCTCCTTCAATTAAGCACTATTTTCTCCTCATTTCTATTTTCACATGTTGTTTAGGTACAACAATAAGAAGTACACAAAATGAGAACGCGCGGAACTTTACAAACTACTCCATCATCAATGACAACACTGTTGGAAAAAATGAGTGATTTGTGTGTAGATATTTATCAGTTAACATAACAAAATAACAAATACAATTCAACATTAACATAATATAAAGTTGAGAAGAGATTTAGAAAGCAAATCTTAGGAAGTCACTTCAAGAACGTTGTCCTAAAATCGGTCTCCCCTTCATACAAGTACTTTTGGCACTACACAACTCCAAAATAAAATCAATGACTCACAATCGGTTCTCCTTCTATAGGCATAACTACAGGGAGATAAAGAACAAGTCTCTCGTCGAGTTGTCAAAATAGTATAAAATGTACAAAGAATATTCTTTCAAATTGTTTTTTGAAGTTGTGAAAAGCAATCCCTTTTATAGGGAAAAAAATCAACCCCACAATAATGAAAAGTTAATCCACTTAAAATGTAAGTTTATCTAAAATTATTGTTTGAATTTTATGTTAAAACTGAAATAAAGATAGAGAAAACTGAAAATTAAAATTAATCTTTTATTTTGAAATTTAAAACTTTCATGAGTTACAACAATCCCTTACAAGTTTTAATCTTTCAAAATAGATAAATATATATTATATAGTGACAACGTTATATTGTGCAATAGGTGTATGTCCGTATGAACAAGATATCCAGCAACAAGAAGAAGGAAAATGATTGAATAGAGGAACTCCCGAACATTTGACAATCTTCAATGGTGACTCATGCAAAAGATTTTATTGAAAAAATGAATCTTAATGATTCACTAGTCGGGGTGGCGAAATGAACCAAAGATCAATTAATCTATTGGGAGAAGTCACGAATGAGCCCTACAAATGAAATAGAGATTGAAAGAGTAAATATTCGCCCGCCTTTTGGACTTGAACCTCACTTAGTGAGAACAATTTTCAATTGAGGGAGTCATAATGGACTAAACCTTGAATTAGGTCCATTTGGCCAAACTTCAATTATTCCACACACATTATCGATTTAGACTGTAGCTCATAGCAAATAGTACTATTAATGGTCATGTGCTCTAATCTTGATTCTAGTAAGTGTCTCTAGGTAATTGATGAAATGTGAAAGTGATGTTCTGGAATAATAGAGGGAAATGGCGGGAGAAATGAACATCAATTCAGCCAAAATGAATCTCACATTTTATAGAGGAATGGAGCAGCCTATTTATACACAATGACAACTAATTTAACAGAATGAAAGAAGCTGAAATGACTTAAATAACCTCATGCTATATTTACACTTCAACACTCTCCCTCATGTTGCCACTTCAAGACCTAAGAAGTATTGCAGGATTCCCAAATCTTTAAACTTAAACTGCCTATTTAGTTCATCCTTGAACTGTTTGATGTAAGTCAAATTATTCCCTCCAATGATTATATCATCCACATATATGAGAAGTATAGTGAATGAGCAGCCATCTTGTTTGCTAAACAAAGAATAATCAAAACTCGATTGCTTAAAACCTTGTGAAATGATGTATGAAGTAAGCTTCATGTTCCATTGTCTCGAAACTTGTTTCAGTCCATAAATGGCTTGTTTAACTTGCAAACCAGTTGTTCACCTTGCTCCCCCTGCTGCTCATAACCTGGAGGCATAAGCATATAGACATCCTCATCCAATTCACTATGAAGGAAGGCATTATTGATGTCCAATTGCTGAAGATGCCATTGCTTGGTGGCTGCAACTGCCAAGAGTGTTTTGACAGTAACTAATTTTGAAACAGGGAAAACCTTTCCTCATAATCTAGTCCAGCCTGTTGAGTGAATCCCTTAGCTACCAAACGAGCCTTCTTCCTTTCATATGTTCTATCTGAGTTGAGCTTGACTTTGAAGACCTATTTACAAGCTACTGGAGTCTTATGATCAAGTAACTTGGTGACAGTCCAATTGTTGTTGGAAACCAGTGCCTGATACTCAGCATCCATAGCTTAAACCCAATCGGGAAGCTTTGATGCCTCAGTGAAGGTTCTTGGCTCACAGACGGTGGATAAGGCTAAGGCATAACTCCTTTGAGCATGAGATAGTAGACCATAACCCAAGTAGTTCTTAATGGGATACTGCTTGCTAAATTCAGAGTCTTTTTTCACAGAGTCTGATTGGGGAATTGGCAACTGAGACATGAGACTACAATGATAGTCTTGTAGATATAAAGGAGCACATTTTGGTCTATCAGATTTTCATGTAGGGACAATAGGTGGTGAGAAAGGAACTGCAGATGGAGAGGTGTTAGGTTCAGTAGATGAAGGAGAAGATGCAACAGGTGATGATGATACTGAATTGTGAGGATCTGATATATTTAAGGTGTTTGAAACTGATATTGGAGTAAATTCATCAGTACTTAGAGGAGGATGTATTGGAAAGAGAGGAGGATGAGACTCAGTGATAACATCAGATTTAGATAAGAGGGCTAGGAAAGAAGGATTATGGAAAGGAAATAAATTCTCATGAAAATAGACATCTCTAGACACAAAAACTACCTTCGTTTTGAGATTGTATAGCTTATATGCCTTCATTCCATATGGATAACCAATGAAAATGCAGGGTATAGCCCTGGGATCAAACTTGGTTCTATTTCTTTTCAAGGTTGAGATATAGCAAAGACACCCAAAAATCTTGAGATGGCTATAGGAAGGTGTGGTATGGAAAAGCTTTTCATAAGGGGATTTATCAGCAAGCAATTTGGTAGGTTTTCTGTTTATAATGTGTATGGCT